CATCTTAAACTGAAAGTGTCATAGTGACTAACAACTTTAATTTGCTTTGTATAGCTCGATCGATAGTAAGAAGCTAGTTAGTACAGGTAATGTTAGCTACCAGCGAGCTCCATGTAGCAAGCTAGCATAGCTAATTAAACACTGACGACCTGGCGTATTTACTCAGAGGTTCATTTGATTGTCCTGCCTGTGTCTATGTGAACATGTGTGAGTCGTGGCAGTGCGTCGCTGTAAACCTGCAAATAGGAGCAGAGTCCATCGTTTTTTTAATGAGCAAGCAAAAAAAGGAAAACGGCTCGTTTCATTCCAGGGCCAAACAAGCATTTCATTCTGCGGGTCCCCCAGCATTACTGTTATGTCCCGTACACACTTCAGGGAACTGCAGTTGATAAATAAGTTACCTTCATTCCTGAAGATTCACAATCAAATGCACATCTTCAAGAGTCCTGCAGTGACCGATGGGTAAACTTTACTGCAGTGTCCTATAAAGTGATAAACAGTTGTTCACTACACTCTGTGCACTTTGACGTTCCCTTCCAGCGGAACTTCTTCACTCCCTGTGGTGTTTTAATCATCCTTAAACTGTCTGAATGCCGGTGCAGTGCACTTTGCAGGGAACTACCAGGGCGACAAGACTGCACCTCGACGGAGAGGAGGGCGTTTCTAAAGTAGTGATGGTAAGGAAATGTGGTTTTCATGAAGAGTTTACAATGTATTTGATAGACCAAGAATATTTAATAGCACAGACTGCAAATTTTCACCAATTGCCAAAATATGTAAGGCCTTACATTCATACTTATTTTGGTTGCCTATGAAATGTGTTTAATTTTCATCTTAAAACACTAAATCATTTCAGTTTAGATCATGATGAAATGTTTGAGAACAGCCTGCTGTAGCATTTTTCATTAAAATAAGTCAGAAAAATCATCATGCATTTTTAACCAAACTTGCCAAAATATCCTTGCTTTTGTGCTTATTTTACATCATCTTTGAATCTTAAAACGCTTAAATCAGATGGAAAATGTCTGTTGTGTATTATATGAGGCACATTAGCTTCTTCTTGAATTTGTTACATTTTTATATATATTGTTAATTCTTCTTGAAAATAGACCACAAAAACACCATCACAATTTATGGTAGCTCAGATTTCTGACTGTGCAGCTTTATTTTAGTTCAGTTCATGTTAAAATGAACATAAAATAAAACAGGCTGTTGAATCATTTTCATCTAAATTAGTCAGAAAGGTCACCTTTTATTTTTTTCACCAAAATTGCCAAAATAAGGCTGTAAAAGCTAAACTTTTTGCATGTTTCAGTCCTTACTGGAATATGTTAAATTTTGTGTTAAAACATTTAACTCAGACGTAACAGGTCTGCACATGGTGTGTTTATCAAATATATTAATTCCTCTTGAAAACAGACTCTTTTCACGGATACACCATCACTAGTTATGGTAATCCGTTCATGTTTCTGAAAATACAGCCTTATTTTAGCTCAAATCCTGATAAAATATTTTAGAACAGTCTGCTGAAGCATTTTGTCATCAAAATTAGTCATTAAAATTGCCAAATTAGTCTTACCTTTGAATTAGTTGGAAAATCTCTTCCTACGGTGCATAATATCAAACATATGGCTCCTCTTGGATACAGTTTCATTGGTACAATAAAACTCTCATGATTACTGTTTCATATTCTCATTAATACTGCTATACTTTCCTTTAAATCATCAGAAAATATAGGTTTAAGATTTATCTTAAATATCATCTTAAACGTTATTAATCCGAATGAACATGGCCAGACAGCAGAGCACTGGCAGAACTGCAGATAGATTGTTTATACTTTGTTTAGCAGATCTACTCTCAGCCAACTCAAAACACCTGCAGGCCAGAGTCCATTTGAAATGTGTATATTGAGGGCAAAATACGCTGCAATGCATCTCTAATATTTTTGCATTCACTGTCAGTAAGGATCTCCTGACAGTTCCACTAGTACAGGCCTTACAGAAACAGGTGTGCTGGTCCTCTGGAGACTGGAGCTTCTGCAGAGGACTGCAGCTCACACTCCTGCACCACTGCAACAGCAGTCTGTTTAAATGAGTTTTAAATTAAATGATAATCAGATGCACAGACAGTACTGTGGTGCTGCTGTCTTAATCAGAAGAGCACACAGGTCTTCCTTGGTGTTAAACAAGATAAAAATTACATTTAAATGAAATTTGTTTCTCACAAATTATTGCTTTTTTGCAGTGAACCGTTCTCATTCTTAACTGGTTGCCATCACATTTTTTAAAAGACTAATTGCCTCTTCACTTAGTCATTGCTGGCACCATGATCAATCTTCCTTCTTTACTCAATTACTTGTGTGAAAGTAAAAGGCTTTCTGGTTCAATGTGTCTGAAAATGTTTACTTCGTCTGAGCTGGTTTCTCAATAAACACTGTTAAGACACTGATTTCCTCAAATGGGACTGTTGCAACACTGTCAAAGATGTGCGTCAAAATCTTTCAGTTGGTGTAACGATGTTTGATTTCAAAAAGCATCTCGAAGTGGCAAGAAGAATCAAAACACTTCACAGGATAAATAGACACAGAAAATAAAGAGTGCTCATCTCACCCCCATTTGAAAGAACTGCACTGGCTACTTCCATATTTTAGGATAAATTTTAAAGTTCTACTGCTAGTTTTCAAAGCTCTAAATGGCTTTAAAGCACCTATGTTACCTCAGAGAAAATCTGTCTATGTTCCAACACATGACCTTAGATCTATAGATACTGGCCTTCTGCAAAGAGCTTCAGTGAAATATACAAGATGTGGAGAGGCCTCTTGCGCTTCTAAACTGTGGAGCTCAATTCCACCTTTTATTTGACAGTCAAACTCATTGCACACTAAGAGACTTTTGAAAACCCATCTCTTTAACTTAGTGTTCAATGAAAATTCTACATCTTTTTGGTATTTATCTTTTAATTTGATCTGTTATTTTCTTATGAGTTTAAATGAATACGAGTAATTTCCTCTTTTACTGTTAAGTCTTATCACCTGTCTGTAAAGCACTTTGAGCTGCCGCCGGTATGAAAAGTGCTCTATAAATACAGACATCATTATTACAATTATTTCCACTTGTGAATGAACTACATTTTGGCAGAAAAAATATATTTTTTTAAATATTAAAATCATATGAATATGGGTTTGATTCCAAAATGCTGTACATCCATTTGTAACAATTTTGTATATAGCAATTTTTTGAAAAGAATAACAGCTGGTGTATGATGGAAAACACATTTTTAGTTCTCTAATTAAGGTGCTATTAACTCTAGTAATGTATTGATAGTTCTTATATGTGTGAAGTCCACTCCCAGCAACCAAAAGTGGACAAGCACGCCGGTCAAACTACATGTTGTGTTGATTTTCTAAGTGAAAAAAGTTAACACACCCCTTGCGCTTTTTCATGCACAAAACATATCACATACACAAAAGTAATGGTACTTAAATTTTTTCACCCCAATATGTTAAACTCAGAAAACAGCTAAAAGTGTGCAGTAAAATTTGCAGAAAAATGCAAGTTTGTTGTTGTATTTTCACTTAAACAACACAATTTTTGCATAGCACTGTATTTGAAGCAATGTTTATAGAGCTGAGAATACTCAGTGTTGTGTATAAAGTAGTTTTAGTTTTTAATCTATTGTTGCATGACAGAAATCAATCAACTCAATCTGAAGTTAAAATGTTGTTAATACTATTCAAAAATTAAATGTGTGAATTTAATTTGTAAAAGTAAAAAATCATTTTCGATATTGATTGCATAGTACACTGAATTCTAACTACTGAAAAGTGAATTTTTACAGAAAGCTCTACCAAAAATATAATTAGAAGTAATCAGCTTTAAAATGAATTGGGAAAAGCCATGAATTATAAACAGTGAGGACTGCAATCTCACATGCAGATTGAATGCCTATGTGTAAAAACCTGATTTCTGATGAATTAGCCTAGATTTGTTAAAGCTGGATCCGATCCATAAGTGAGCAGCACTGTTGATAGTGTGACACTGGTTGCATTATGCACTCACAAATTAAGATCAAGATGAACCCAGAGCGCATGTACTTCAACTGAGCACGCTCTGGTCATGACAATGTCTTCATCTAACATGGATCCATTTGATAGGCTTTTTGTCACCAGCTGAATGGGTTGCCATAGGGGCTTACTGTGGATTGCCTGTTGGATTGGTGCTATGGAGAGAAAAAAAAGAACGCAGCTCGGCTTTAAATAGCACGAGGCAGTGGAGGGTAAGTTTACACTCACGGGAACTATTTACTGTGAACTGAGAGTCACAGGCAGGAAGGGGGACCAACACACTAGAGCACTGTGGTTTTAACCTCCCTTGTGACAGAGTGATGTGTTTTTCTTTAAGGCACACTATGTTGCTTTCAGTTCTGGAAATTACTCTTTAAGGCCTGGAGATGTAAAGTGAAGTTAACATGTCACAAATACAACTAAAAAAATATTTATGTATTTTTCTGTTTTAACATTTAACTGTTTTAATGCATATTATTGTAGTTGTGTTGGAACAGTGTTACCATGTAAATAACACCTCAGTGGGATTCAACTGTGCACATACTGACTCTGACATTTATAACAATATATATTCACTGTGTTCTTTAAAAAAAATACGACTAAAGCCTTTTCTTAAGTTGACCACATCAACTGAAATTCCAACAAAACCCTAATATGATCCTATAAGACAACAAAATTCCCCACATTTCTACTGGCTAAAATCTTACACAGTATACTTCAAGTTCTCGCAGAAGCTAAGACCACTGAAAACGAGGCTGGGAGAAGCCTTGTGTTTTCACATTGTGAGTTTAATTAAAACTTAAGTGCTAAGTTGTGTTAAGTCAGTGACCTCTGTGCAGGGTTTCAGAATGCAAAAGTGCCCCGCTGTGTTGCACTGCACCTAAAACATTACAGAAGGCCTCCATTTCAGTTTAAGTTCTAAAAATGCTCCAGAAAATCTCAGAACATGAGGGGGGTTTTATTCGGTACACTTTAATAATGAGAAATCATTTCAGATTGGACAGCCATTTGCTTAACAATCATTTTTTCCCACAGTAGCTTCATTAGACTGCTCAAAAACATTCATGCTCTATGTTGACCATGTCTAAAACTTTGGACAATATCCTAATGTAGTTCTCTAATAAGAGTCAGAGGCATTACCATGTAATCTCTACAGAAAAAATAAAAAAGTTCATTTTAACATTCTCCTAGAAATAGGATTGCATTTTATCTATAAATATTTCTCAGTGCATAGCGGCGTAGTCACTGAAGGAGTGAAGAGAGGTATTCCAAACCAGAATACGAAAAATACCTGAAACAAAAATGATTCTTTTCCTTTCATTAGATCAGAAGTAGGTTTTGCAGTAGCCATACATAAATATGGAGGGAGAGGTCTTTACAGATGAGGGCTTTGTGAGGTCAGATTAGGTCAACATGTCCCACAGACAACAGCAACACAGCGCCGTCCAGCAGGCGGTCAGACATGCCTGCTCTCCAGAATCATCTCGCCGTCCCTGTTCCACCACGTACACTGAGGGAAACACAATGTGAACATAAGACAATAATAATATTAGAATAAAATTAATTAAAAAGGACACAAGATATTCTTATTCTTGCAACAGATACTAAAAAAAAAGGTGTCATAGAAGAACCACTTCCTTGAATAACAACTCTAAAAAAAAGGACGTGTGAGTTTGCAGAACCTTCACACCTTCACCTAATACAAGGGTCTATTTAAATATCTATCAACATTGATGACCATTAATTACAATGATCGCTGATTTGTCTCTCGGGTCCATTTATGCAGCTTTGGCTGGAAAACTTGACAAAATAATTTTTTAGTTTAGTCAAATCCTGTTACTGTTTTTGAAAACAATAAATTGACCATCTTTTGCTATGAAAATTTGAGTTCAACATTAGTATTTGAAAATGTAGTAAAATAAACATGTGTAAATATATCTTTGGTCCCCAAATCCAACGTCAACCCTGCATACAGTCTTAAAGGCAGGATGACTCGTACAATGTCATGTCATTTGAGCTGATGATGATGATAATGATGATGAAACACGTTCATGTGATGTTAAAGACGGTGGTTCATCTACACTATTGTTGACCAATATCAGTAAAAGAGAAGAATCTGGAATTGTCCATTGTGTTTCAATATTAGAACACTGATGATCAAACAGCATGTCACACAGCACTGGTTCCTCTTTGTGGTCAGCAACCAGCCCACATGCACAGCAAGTGATCTGGGTTACACTTGTGTCGAAAACAAAACCTAACAATGTGCACCATGACACAAAGCCTGATGGCACAGTACTGCTTCCTTCAAGATGATATTTTCTTACATTTCATTTCTGATTTGAGAGACATGCTTGTAGTAACAGGCCATAAAATCTTAATATATTTTTCCATATCATTAATTACTGATAATCAAAATGTGCATTTCCTAATTCTCAAACCTAAACTTGAGATACTATATACTAAGTCTGGTATTTTGAACCCTGAAAAAAAAAAATTCAGTTTGGTATAATATACAAATTAATTTATAAAAGTATTTTAAAGATCGACATTTTGAGGACACTGCACTTTTCCTGAGCCTTTACATACATCACTGAACATGTCACACACCTTTAAAACTTAACAGTCAACGAAAAATAAGAAAAAAGCCATAAAAAGACAAAGTTTTGCCAGGAAAGGGGCTTTTTCTGCCAATTTCCACTTCTTCTAAAACATTTTGCTCATAGCACAGAGCTAGTTAACCTTGTGAACAAGGAAATGGTTAGTGAATGGTTAGACTTCTTGCTGCTTTGTACTGTTGCAAGTGAAAGGCTAGACTTCTTCTCCCTCTCTTCTAGCAATTAAACGAAGCACATCACTGCCAGGTGTAATTGAACTAGCACCTGTTTAAAGTGCAGGCATTTGTAATTACAGATTACGGAACAGAACCAATCATAAACATTTATACCAGTTCATAATAACTTTATCAAAAACACCATAAGCATGAATTACTGACAGTAAAGAAATATCTGTCTATAATTATCATTGTTGTATTACTACCCAGGCCTAGTAGCCAGTGTGATATGAACACAGTTCAGAAAGGAGGAAATGCTATTTCAAAAAGTAGCAGGAAGCTTACCTGTGTTTTTAGGAGGCTCCCCATACATTGGTCCTCCATACGGTGGCTGGGGGGGTACCTGATAGCCCTGATAACCTGGCTGGACTGGATATTGTCCAGGAGGCCCTGGGGGGAAGTTGGGGTAAGGTTGTTGATCTGTGGGAGGTGGATAGCCCGGAGCAGGGTAGGCCTGAGGTGGGTATCCCTGAGCGGGGTAACCAGGAGCAGAAGGGGCAGGGTACCCAGGAGCCGCAGGGCCAGTATAAGGGGGAGGATGATCGTAACTCATTTATGCACAGGAGGAGGTCACCTGTAGACAAGAGACACGCACTGTTTCACATGGATTCAGTTAATACAGCGATAATGCTACAAAGCCACATCCCAGCTAGTGCAGTTGAGGTCTTCCAGTCCTCATTTCTGCACACCTGTGAGGAACGTGAGGCCAGATGTGAGCTGAAATGCACTGTCATTACCCTGTCATTGAGCTGAATTATGCTTGTAATCTATACTGAGTTACTGTAGATACATATAAGCTTATTTTAACAGACAATTCTGATCAATATCATCATTTTACAAGCTGCAGTAAATGCACAGCCTGTACGTTGCACTAGTCTGTATTAAATGCAACCTATTATTTTAGTGTTTGCACACTAAAAGACTCTAAAAGTGCTGACTCTGAGGAGGACTGCAGGGCTTGGTGCTCCAATTGCAACAGACCCTAAATCAGACACCAGAAGGAAGTAAGGTGAAGGTGTGTTTTTGACATTAAAAACAAGAAGTGTTTTAAGCCTCAGTCAGCCTCACCTCTAGCTGATAATTGACAGCAAATTGCAAATTAATGAGGAAGTATGTACACAGACTCACTCGTAGCAAACATTCAAATGATACAGCCAGTTCTCACATAAAGGTTGCTTAATAATAATTCACAGCTATTATTTGTGACCTTATACAGACTTATGAAACACATCTTGCTGTAAGCAGATGGAATATGAATATTCATACTTATATAATGACTACTGATTGGTTAATAAATATGTATATTAATCACTGATGATAGTACACAAGTTAAACACCTGAAAGAAAGCCAGCAGTCTGTGTTTGGTTAACTTCTACTAAGCTTCTGTAAGTGTCCAGGACGAGACTGGGCTTTAGCTAAGATTGTGCCCGAGTATCTGCACATCTAAATTTAGTCTCTACTCCTTATTGATTCCAGCTCAGCAGAGGGTAGGAGACGGTTGTTTTTGTTGTAATAGCAGCGAGAGGAGCCAATCTTCGGAAAGGAAACTGGACCTGGCCTGACTATTGGTCTGGTGCTGTAGTATTTTGAATTACAAATGAGTTTCAGAGCAGGCACGTGTGACTCGTGTACACTAGTACACAAGACTACCTAATATGCAAGAATGATGATGAAATAAGGGTTTTTTAGCACAAACTGGGATTTCGAAGCCAATACCCATAAACCCTATCTCACAAGATTAAACCCATGCCTCTCCACAGGGTAAACTCAATCAGTGAGTGTAAATCCTCATGAACGAGTACACTGTGTCATTTGTCTCAAACATGGACGTGACGTCTGCAATGACCACGGACATACAATGACTAAGCATGCTGTTAGCAAGCTCCTTCTCTCTGGGTGTCCCATTTAATGCAATATCTAATCCAGATAAAACCATGGTGAGTAGTTCTCCTCAGGGGTGGTGAATTATTAACTTGATGAATAGCAAAGTCGACACACAGCGGGAACACAAAGGTGAATGATGTCGTAATAAAGAGAAGCTGATATATGATAAAGGAAAAAATCTCTATATGAATTTGAATCTAGATGTATATCACTATATTTTTTCCAAAATTCTGTGTTTTGCTTAGTCTTGTTGCTGCTGTAGCCCTACAGTTTCCTTCAGTATTAAAGTTTGTGTCCATCTACAGAGGTGGGTAGAGTAGCCTCAACTCATACTCAAGGAAGTGTTAATACTTAGATAAAAAAATGACTCAAATCAAAGTACCTTCTAAAAGTAATGGGTCAAACAAAAAGAAGGAACTGAAGTCTGTACGGCTCTGTATTTGTCTTTCTGGGTCCTTTTGGTCTAAAATAAAATGCTAAAGCTACAAATGTGTGACCAATCACAAAGCAGTACAGATTTTGTCCCCAACACAATGTAATGAAATTAAACACACAACAAAGAAATGAGTAACTAAATATGAATGGCTAAACGTAACAGAGTACAAAGTAGATTTCTTTACCGAGTAATGTACCTCAGTAGAAGTAAACATCAACATTTTACGTAACTACATGTACTTACAGTCTCTCTTTCTCTATAAATATATAAGTATGCATATATGTACGTGTGTCTCAAATTAACTCACGAATCTCATTTACACTCTCATTTCTGAGCATATTCATATTTAGTTTAGTTCCATTAAGAAACGTATCACCCGGTCAGTTACGTTACGTATCTAAGAAAAATGAACAAATCTCTGAAATGGTTAAAAATAACTGGTTTACGTTTTAAACTTAATAGATGGCCATGGCAGGGTGCTGTTACTTTCCAGCTCCTGAGTAGGACCCTTGTTGCTGTTCTGCTCATTACTGAAGCAGATGAACTGCATTTGTCAGTGAATACAACAGTGTTCAGTACTGAAAATGAGGCGAATGGGATGGTTTTGTGTTCATTTACAACAACAAGCAGGTGATTGTTGAGCAGATGTCAGGCGGACAGAGAATCGGCCCACGCAAGTAAATGACCGACGAGGTGACGATCACGGGCCCACACTACACTCCGAGGAAAAAAGGCAGAAATAAGGCGGAGAACGTGCTAAATCTTTACTTTACTACACTGGGGAGAGAAGTCTAAGCCTGACTAAGTAGGTGCCCGGTTTCTGGCTCTGTGAAAGGGAGTAATCCGAGCGAAGTTAAGACCATGCGGAAGAGGCCCGTACCAGGATCCAGTCAGTGTTGGTGTTAGAGGGCCGGGGGCACGAACAAGGATGGAAACTGCACCAAACACATACTGACACTCAGCAAAGTGCCTAGACTGCGTATTCGAGCCGTTAGTAGAGGAGAGTCATATACGAAGCCCCCGGTAAAGGCAAAAAGCTCAGAAGTGTTGTTTTTACCTGTGGTTTAACGGTCGGTGGTGCTGCTACAGTGCGTCAGCCCGGCTCCGGTCTGCTTCGTTTGTTTTATTCCCGTTATGGTGGTGTTACGGCGTTGTCAGAGGAGTCCAGCTGAGTCTGCCCTCCCCGCCAACCAATGAACTGAACAGCGCTGGCCGCTTGGGGCGCGATGCTGAAAGGGCTCCAAGAGACAGATGATCAGCTGACCCGCCCTCTGACCAATAGGAGGCGAGGACGCAGCCCAAGCCCCGCCTTCTTCAGTGACTTGGCACTCCCCAGTGAGGTCAGAGATGAGGGAAGGGGTGGGGAGAAGGGGTAAATAAACAGGAGGTGGGCAGATTTTCACTCACATTGTGAACCTCATATGACCAGCGGACTGCAGAGGATGAGGGCAGGGAGAGGTCAGCCGCTAAACTGAACTCATTTTGATCTTTAATGTTAAAGTGAGGAAGCTAACGTTTCCCTATGGCTCCCTAACTGTATAACGTGTCACCAGAGGGTCTGTTGTGGTTGCATCATGCTCCATGTTTATTTCAGCAGGACATTTATTTACAACAATGTGGTCCAGTGATCAAAACAAACAAAAAAAAACGTTCAAAAGGTCATCAAATGACTAAAAAAACTTCATCTGTGCTTCACTGTGTACCGTCTCATGTGCATTAACGAAAATCAAAACCCAAAACCAAAACAAAGTTCCAGAGACACTTTTTGACTTGAACTCTAATAAGCAGTGTATCCATATTTGGTTAGTGTGAAACAAAGGGACAACAAGGAAAGTGATTTTGAGGCTAATCATTTTAGTTTCTTTCCTCATTCAATCTGTTATGTTTTGCTAGTAATTTGTTATATGACAATGGAAGACAATCACACTTGATTGTCTTGTTTCTACAGAAGCGAAAGCTAATCAGCTAAACATAATGTACGACTCTTTGCGATGTGCTGCATTCTTCTCTATAGGCAAGTTGTTTATATGAGATACTAACATTCAGAGGCATATTTAGCAATTTCACACACAACCAGCATCTTATAATTCTATAGAGTAGAATACTGTTAATGAGTCATTGTAATACAGAGACAAAGCATTATCATCATCAAAGACTGAGCAAAGACTCCATTACCTACAGTGCAATATGCAAATATAAAAGAAAAGGTGGTAAAATGCTATATGTATGTGATAAATTAACTCACATATCAAACAAAGCTGTTCCATGTGTAACAAAGAAGCCCTATGTTAGGCTATAATCAGGAATGTGTGCTCGCTCAATGAAAGACGGTCTGTCTCCAGCGTTTGTCGTGGAGGAAGGGCCAGAGACTGTCTCTTATAGCGGTTTTGAAGGGAGTGGGGTCAACACTTAAACCAAGCAGCTCCAGACGAGAGCACTCCAACTGCGCATTCTGCGGCCTCTGAGCCCCGGCTCCAGCAGGTTGCTCTGTCAGCTACACACACACACACACACACACACACACACACACACACACACACACACACACACACACAGATTAATTACCTAAAAACTGGTACATCCAGTGAAAAACAAACAGAACATGTGCAGTATGCACCAGATATTGGAAGAAAGTAAAGGAAAAAGTTGCTGAAAAAATGTTCACCTATTACTCACTGACTTTTTAGGCACCATTATAATGGAAGCTGTTAAGAGTGTTTCCAAAACACAGCTTGTTTCCAAAATAATCTGAGGTTTTGTCTAACCCTGCCCCAAAATCACTAGTAATGTGTCTGTGATACTGAAAAATTAGAATCTAGGAAGTTAACATCTTTGATTGCATACTATCTATGGTCAGACAGGTTGTGGGACATTATTCACAATTAACATTTATAAAAACATTGAAAAAATCATGATACTACATGCATTGAGCAAATAGTATTAGTTATGCAACACACATCACACAGCTCCTATTCAACAGACTTGATCCTTAGCGTCTCCAGATCCTCAGACAATGTTTTGATTTTACTGTTTCTTTTTTAAAGCAACATGACAAGAACAAACCGAATACCTGAAATATGTCTTTCTCAGAACTTTGCAAATTCACAGTGTTATTTGCATGCTCTATGCCATATGAACTGTAGACTGTGACTCACCGGTATGAGATGACTGCTGGGCAGGTTAAACGCATCTGCAATGGCACAGGCCATCTCATATTTAGTCATCTGCTCTTTCCCAGAATAATGGAAGATCCCACGCATGGATGGGTCCTACCATGCAACATAAGCACATAAACAAAAGTGAGTTCAGACCAGCACAGCACAAACAAGTTGCCAAGTTGCCATTTCTACATACATACATACATACACACACACACACACACACACACACACACACACACACACAACTGTATGCAGAAGTTTAAATACCCATGGTCAAGTCAAACATTTTTCTGCTTTTAAGTTCAATGTATTGGAAAAAACAAAACATAAAATATAAAATTTTAAAAATATAAAAATATATGTTTTTTTCCAAAATATGTTAAATTCAGCAAATAATCAGTGCATTACAAATTGCAGAAGTGTGTCCTCTGTAGAGAATGTGAACTTATGTTCGCTTAGAAAATCAAAGCTTGGAGGACAAACTTAAGTATGAAAGTGTGTATAGACAAAAAGTAGTTGATATCTTGTGAGGGAAGGCCCAGCCATCACATGGATTTGTTAAATCACCAGCACACCTGATTTTACATAATAAAATAAGGAAATACTGATTTAGCCACATCAAGTACTGGATGATAACTACAGATAATACAAGGTTGCCATGAGGGCAGGTTTGGAAATGGGTAAACAAACAAACTAACATAGAATCACCACATACTGTATTTGTTACTTGAATTTATTCTAATATCAGTGTTTTTCTGAGCAAACAGATGCTTACTGCCCAGATAAATAGCTTTTTAAATCTAATTTTCTCACATCTAAAACTTATGCGCACACACACACACACATATACATATATATATATATATACACACACACACACACACACACACACACACACACATACATACACATATATATATACACACACACACACATATATTAGTCCAAATTGACAAAATAAGCTTTGTCAGAATTATTATTTTCAATTTCACTAATTCAGTAGCATTATTTTCATCATGTGATTACCATAGAGTGAATGCAGTTCCAACAAATATAAATCATGTATACAGTCAATATAAAATTATTACACATTCCACAGATTAACAAATTAACAAGATGGTCAGTATGGAAGCAGTACGAATAAAACATTGATCAGTTTTAATTCTTTTACAGCTGGTTGGCACTTTCCTTTCCTTTTACACATCAGAACATGAGAAGAATGCAATCTGCAAGTGGTAAAATATGCCAGTGACTGGTTCAGCACTTTCCTGGTGCACCAAGAATATCTTCTATGTGCAAACATAGCACATGAAAAATTAAAAAAATGGATGCAAGTAATCAGATTTTCCAGGGGTCGACGTCTGGGCTGTTAGTGGCATGTTTTTGTGCCTTCACTTTCGTAAAACAGGGGTTGTATTTAAGCCTACTGCTAATATGTGAATCAGCACCAGTTGTTTCCATACAGATTAGAATTAGAGCTCTGTCTGAATAGTTTAATTTTTCCTCCAGCTCAGCTTCCTCCAATCAAATTAGAAAAAAAAAATGGACAAGCATGGATCTAGAGGGGGCCTTACTGATCTATTGTTTGTCCAATAAAATCAGCCGATATAAAAGTTTCACAGATTTATCAGTTTCACAAATTTATTTTTATGTGATGAAGTTTCACAAATTTATCACAATTTTTTTAACCAAAAAATAATATCTGTCTACATTACTGTTTATCTGAATTTGTATCTCTTTAAAATTGTTAATGGTGTCTGTGACAAAATGCTGATATTGGTCAGGTCCTAATCTTGACTAGCACCAAAGTAAAACCTCCACACTGGGAACTGCAGTGAAGCAAGTGGGTCACCTGAAGAGCCCTCTCAGCCATGTTCCTACAGACACGTGCCACATCTTTGGTGTAGGTGGGGAAGCGCTGCTGGCAGTGGTCTATAGTGCAGCTCTCAGCCCCTTCCTGAACACGGTCCCACAGCACCGTTACTGCACTCTCCTCAACCTTCTCCACCTCGCCATACAGAATGGGGACCCGAAGTACTGCAGCACCTGAAAACAGGAAAAATTTGGAGATATTTTGAAGTAAGGACTTAATGCATCTTAATGCTTAAGGCATGCCTGTATGTGGCCCACACATCTGTTCCTCACTTTCATAACTACAGCAACACCAGAAAGTATTTAGACACTTCAAAGATTTAACCACTGCTAAACTATAGTGAAGTTCTTCAGGTTACTTCAAAGTTCTTCAGGAATTCCAACCAGACTGCACTAGGAGTACTGTAAAGAACAGAAGTGGAAATCTCAAAGTGTGGGGCTGTTTATCTTATAGTGGTGTTGCTGAGCTTGTTTTCACTGATGTGATCATAAACTCAGAACTGTACAAAAACATTTTGGATGCAAACCTGCAACAGTCTGCAAAGAAACTGCTCAAATAATAACAATCTGAAATACATTAACCAACTTTTCAAAGAATACTTTGCCAAAAAGAAAATGTCATTCTTGGAATGGTCTGCTTAAAATAAATGGCACTTGGTTTGACTTGTTTCCTGACATAATTAACTTTATGCCTCTTTAAATATTATCCAAATACTTTTTAGGAACACTGTACATAACTCACATAAGAGTTTCATAGTAGTTACTGAATAAATCATAGTATTTACTGGATAGTAAATACTACTACTTTATTACTAAATAGTAATTATGTTTAATAACTGTATAGTAAGCCAAAGATAAAAGGCGTTGTGCCCTAAATTAAGTGGTTCTGAGAGTGAAAAACTTTGGACCCATATTAGGTCTGTAGGGTTTAAGGAATTAAACCATAATGGAGGAGATGGGTTTACTCAATGCAGGGGAGAAACAGGAAACACAAGATGAGTAAAACAAAAGAAGTAAGAGGTCAGGGAATTCTTATACCTGGACAATGTCTGAGGATCTCTCGTTCTCCTTCAAGTTTGGACTTCCCATACATGTTTAATGGATTTGGTGCATCATTTTCTCCATATGGAGGATTGCGTCCATCAAATACATAATCAGTACTAATGTACAGCAGGAAGATGCCAGCTACATATACAATGTTAAAAGAGTACAAACAACAAATTAATCAGAAAAAACAGCGTTACAAGAACTGAATAAGCAACAACTTGGAAACAAATCTACTCAACAAGCTATGTTTGTAAAAATGTGGATAAAACATTTTTGACCACATTTCTATTTCAATTTCCATACCCCCATGTCTTACTGCCTGTTTTGCTTTACACTGGACTAACCTGCTTCTTTTGCCAGAGTAGCACATGCATGTACGTTCAGGTTCAAGGCTGCCTCCGTGTGATGCTCCACCACATCTGGCCTCCTCTCAGCAGCACAGTGCACGATCGCATGAGGCTGAGTCCACAACGAAACAAAGACAATGAGACAGCAACATTACATTAAAGGGAAGATGATTGACTGCAGGCAGCAGAAAGCACCAATGTTAGTGGCAAACGCTGTGGAGACTTTAGGCTATACGCTGCCACTTTGGGGACAGTAAGCACCTGAAAGTCGTGAATGACCGCCCGCACAGCATCTTCGTCCAGCAGGTTACATCTGAGGAAGCGAGGTCGAGCCCGGTTGTAACCACAGCCCAATGCATCCCAGTCGTTGTTCTGGAACTCCTTGTAGACCGTGCGCCCCAGAAGACCAGTCGCACCCGTCACAAGCACACGCCTGTATGGGGTGTAGACATCCTCCTGTGGAAGGTCAGATATTAGAGGAGCAGATTTGTCAAGAATCCTCGAACAATCAGTTGATTCTTCTAAAAATAAATGTCAGGTGATTGTAATCAAGTAAAACAGCTCCTGCACATTACTGGAGAAATAACTGCTACATGAAGTACAGTTTAGTATCCAGTATAAAACACGGTTAAACCTCTGATTTGGTAAGTTTTTAGTTCTAACACAAGAAGAACACATTTCCAAGCAGGTTAGTCTCTACTTGCATTTGTGACAAAAACTTTGTACATAGCTGATCCATCAAACTCCAGAATAGTGAGTTTATAAGGGATTCACTTTTACATCAGAATCATATACTGGCAGATTACTGCTTTAAGAAAACAAGTGGCATCAGACAGATGTTCAGATTTGATATTTCAAACCGATATTTGATGACATATTTATTTAACTCCAGAAGAGCTGAATATTTAGGCGACGCTGGATTACTGGGCAAAAATATCTGCATTTTACCGCGCTTAATAATAAATAAATAAGTGTTACATTTCTCTGTAACGCTAATCCAGGTAGACTTAGTCACAGCTGCTATATTTTATAGACGGTCATGTTTCAGCATCTGGAGACATGTACATGAAAAATATTGGATACTGGCATCAGCCCACAAATCCCACATCGGTGCATCCCTGGAGCTTACACATTTTTAAATTCTTACATAACTGGCTTCATTAAAGGCGTTTCTCTTTACTTGTGTCTTAGAGGGAATCAGAAAGGCTTTCAATGGATTATCAGATTACAACCACAAGAACTGTTAAAGATAAACAAATAAATAAAAAATACCACTCATTCAGGTTTGGAAATCTAAATTTCACAGCTGCTTTACATGCCATAATGGCCAATGAATACAACAGGATGTGGTCTGAGCAGCACTATAAATACCAACTTTCACACTCTTGCATAGTGTAAACATCACACTTCAGACCCTCCAATGAGGTGCATCTAAAACACAGTGTCAGGAAGTCAGCTCCTCATTCAAGCTCTACAAAATGATGAAGCTTTACAAATACTGGAGCTCATCGACTCCTTACGTTTAATTGCCCATTATAATCCACAGTTAAACGACCAGGCTTCCAAAGAACTCCGCTACACTGGCAGGTAAGCTGACAAAGACAGAGAGCAGGAGGTTTTTGCAGAAGCAAAAGCTGGAGGCCTTACCTGCACAAGCTCTACATGACCGGGGCTAAAATGTATCTTTAGCTCTTTCTCTCTCTCACTCATGTCAGTATGGCTCTCGCTCTATCATACCCCGCAACAACAACGACGACGACTATGCACAGCGCGCCACTCAATTCCGGGACCTTCTTCACACCAGTTGGGTGAGTCCCGTCCACATAAAGAGTACACACGACATCACAGCCAGAACACACACACCTGCGCCAGCCAAACTTTCACAGTCACACACAAACACACACACACGCAGCCGTTTTCACAACCAGAGAATCCGGACTGGATTTGCGCAGACAGCGCAGGCGTACACAAGCAGCGATTCTAGCACATCATCGCGGCACTCTTATACGCAGTACGAACGTGTTTACATAGTTACATGAGCTATATACATTGCATTCATTCATTCATTCTTGAAAAGAAAATTCAACCTGTGCCAGTTTTCAATACCTAGAGAGCAGCAGAACAAATTATATTTCTGTACATTTGTATTTATAATCGATTTAAAGAGCAGTGAAGTCAAAAGGACAAAAAGCTGTTCGACAATAAACTTTATAAACTTTTCAACAAATTAAGTAATCTTTAAAGCGACTCTCAGTAAATGTAAAAAGCAACATGTTAGCCAGCTAAATAAACTCGATTGTTTACATTACATACCGCTGCCCTACTAGTTACCAGCCACAACAACTCACTCACTAATGTTTAGTTCTGCCTTTTATGCGACCTCCAAGTGAACAACTACTTATTTGCTGTTTAAAACACAATGCAAGGACACAGAGCTACTAAATGCACTTTACTCAGATAGCGAGACGTGTGAGACGTGTGGCTAAATCCCAGTTTACTGTCTCAGCTCAGCTCAGCTCAGCTGTCTGTCCGACCAACCAAAGAGTAGCATTACCTACACAAAGAGAGCCGAACACCGTAAGCTGCATTTATGGCAGAAGTTAGTTCATTCTACTTTAAAACATCAAGAATTTACCTCAAAATCACCATACTCAAATCCGGGCATGATTTTACGATACGTTTACGAGACGTCTAACGCATCAGTCACTCGACTGAAGCCTTGCTGAAAGATTTTTTAGCCGGTTGGCTTCTGTTGCAGCTCATTCATTTCAAAATAAGAGTCCCACCCGTTCATTCGTCGGGCAAACTGGCGTAAGATTAACGCAGAGCTGTACAGATTAGTTGATCTTAAAAATATTATTTTTGTATTGTATTTTCAGTAATGTACTTGGGGAGATCTGTGATTATACTATTAGAAAGTATCACTGAACACTGCCTAAGCGACTCAAAACCGTACCATATGTGCCAAAGGGCATGTGGCACAACTGCCATGTGTTGGCCCTTTTGTAAATTAGTTTAGTATGTAATTTTAACAGCAATATCATAAATAAAGTCGGTTATGCGGCTGTAACCAATCTAGCACAATGTCAGCAGCAACATTCTCAACCAAGTCATTTTGTATTAGACCTAGTCATTTTTTTTTCTCTCAGCAGTTTGTAATGTTTTGTCTTTGTTCGTTTTCCAAAATAAAAGGCTCTGTGAATCTAAAATCAGAACACTAATTAGACCTTGCATGTACAATAATGTGGGTGGTCCAAGGGTGGACAGACAGTGGCATACAGACAGCGAGGTGATGACCAGATCAAGCCAGCAGACTGATATATGCTACTTTCTGGGAAATTCGACAGTTTTCAAATCTAAAGTGCTGGTGAACAGACCCAAAACAGCAGAAAAGCTAAGCCTATTAGATAGCCAGAGGACAGCAGGCCACTGTTGGCCCACTGACGGAAAAGCTGGCGGCCTACTGGCTTTTTCTCAGCGTTTTCCAGGCAGCCCACTGGTGGTTAAGCAGAGTGTTGGCCAAAATGGCTTTTTTCATTGCTCATTTTTACACTTACAGTCCAATTTTTTATTTAATTTCTTTTGTTATCTTTTGTAAATTACTTAGTAAATCGTTTTAACAGTAATATCATAAAGAAAGCTGGTTGTACAGCTGTAACCAGTCTTGCACAATGTCAGCAACAACATTCTCAACTAAATCATTATATATTAGGCCTAGCCATTCATTTTCTTTCTCTCACTAAAAGACTGTGGACATTAAAAATCTAGTTAGATAACCTGGGTGGTCAGGGTTGACCAGCAGTGGCATACAGCCAGCACTGCTGGGGTGACAACCTTGTCAAGCCAGTTGACCAATATATGCTGCTATCTAGTGGAGCACCATTCTTTCAAAAGATATTTCCTCAGCTCTGAGCCTGTTTATAGACCAGTGCAACACATGGAGATCTGATGTCTGGAAACTACCACCAAAATCTGAAGCATGCTCATGGTAACTACCAAATGTCTATAGTTCTTTATAAAACAGAAATTAATGCTAGAGACTCAAAAGATGAACAGTCAGCGTCTATCGTCTTTCGAAAATAAAGGATGTTTCCGCCCGGTTTCGAACCGAGGACCTTTCGCGTGTTAGGCGAACGTGATAACCACTACACTACGGAAACAGTTGAAAACCGTTCTCACTGCAGACAGGTTGGGGTGACGACCTCATTCAGTGTACGTAGAGTTATTTTGAGATTTGCATATGTATCCACAACACAGGAAAACAACATGGAAAGTCTGGTATTTCTGGAGCATGTATTTTTATTAAAAATTAGTAATCAGCTATTTCTTATTTTCTATATTACATTTTTCCTGGGATTCTTTACAAAGACGTGTAGAAATACTGTAAGAAACTGTTAGATTTCTGTAGTGTGGTATTATACTTCTGTAATAATATGCCTGCATGTAATACTCTTGCAGCTCTACAGTTATCTGTCGTCTTACTTGTAAAGTCCCAAAGTTTTTACAATCCAATGCCATCATATACTGCACACATTACAGAGAAGAACATATAGCATACCATCAGATAGAACATCCTAACATTTTATCTACTCATTATCATATTTGAGTATAGATACACAGCTGGTGACAAATTAAAGGAAAATATTAAAAAAGTGACTTAGTAAGGTTAGTAAGATTTTGGGGAACCACGAGACACCAGAAGAGCTTCTGTGCTTCTCATCATAGACTCTCCAACTGCACTATATGGACACTCCTAACTGTTAAAGTGTTTCAGCCACACCCATTGCTAACAAGTAGATAAAATTAGGCACATGGCCTTGCAATCTCAATAGACAAACACTGGCAGCAGAATGAGTCATACTGATGAACTCAGTGACTTTGAACATGGCACTGTCGTGGATTGCCACCTCTGCCACAAGTCAGTTTGTGACATTTCTGTTCTGTTAGATCTGCCCCTGTTAACTGTAAGTGCTTTTATCGTGAAATGGAAGCACCTAGGAACAACAACAGCTCAGCCATGAAGTGGTAAACCACGCAAACTCACAGAGTGGGGCCACTGAGTGCTGAAGGTCACAGGGCCTATCCTCTGTTGAATCACTCACTAACAAGTTCCATATTGACTCTGGAAGCAACATCAGCAAAAAAACTGCATATTAGGAGCTTCATGAAATGGGTTTCCATGGCCGAGCAGCTGCGCACAAGCCTAAGATCAAAATTCACAATGCCAAGGGGGAAAGTGGTGTATAGAACATCGCCACTGGACTCTGGAGCAGTAGAAATGTGTTCTCTTGAGTGACAAATCATGCTTCCCAATCTGGCAGTCTGATGGACGAGTCTGGGTTTGGCGAATGCCAGGAGAACATTACCAGCCTGACTGCATTGTACCAAGTGTAAAGTTTGGTGGAGGAGGGGTAATTCAATGGTCTTGTTTTTCAGGGGTTGACCTGGGTCCCTTAGTTCCAGTGAAGGGAAATCTTCAGCATACCAAGACATTTTGGACAACTGCTCAAAATGTTTCCAACTTTGTGGGAAAAGTTTGGGGAAGAGTCTTTTCTGTATCAGTATGACTGGTGCCCAGTGCTCACAGCAAGGTCCATAAAGGCATGGCTGGGTGAGTTTGGTGCGGAAGAACTTGCCTGGCCCACACAGAGCCCTGACCTCAACCCCATCTAACACCTTTGGGATGAACTAGAACAGGTGTTTATTTGAGCATCAGTTACTGAAACAGAGCCTGTCCTGCAGTGGCCTGTAGCTGACTAACTACACCAGCATTAGCATAGCCCAGCAGGGTACAGCTCTGCTCACGAGAGAACAGGTTTAATTTCGGCTTTCTAACCCTCTATACCAGCAGCTTGGCTTCCTCAGATTCGAGTCGTCATCATCTAAGCTTATGTCAGTGTAACTTTTGTTAGTCAGAATCAAACCTGTTCTGTGGTGAGGCAGCATGCTAACTAAGCTAATGCTAACCAGCTACTCTCTCCTGGTTAGCACAATATGTGATAGAATAAAGAAAGCTGTCTTTGTTTTTACTTGTTTTAAATTAAATAGATTGAAGCTTTTTCGAAAGACTCCTCCAGCTGCTTCTGTCTGTATCCTTGCAACCGGGTCTGCATGTTTTGTATGAGTTTTGTGCAGTTAACGTTAATTAAAACTAAGGTTAGTTAGGATGACAACCTCTCAATGCATAATTAACATTCATTTACACTGAGATATTGTTTCACTTTTTTTTTAAACTTTAAAATCTCCTTTTAATAGGTTTGTCAGGGTGCTGATATGATGTTGTTTGCTTTGCAAGTGTGATCATTGAATTGGCAACACATTTTTCTCTTTGCTGTTCTCCATGTTTCAGTTCTCAAAGATTACTAAACAGGAGAAAAGTATAACATGTGTTTCCGCCCGGGGACCTTTCGCGTGTGAGGCGAACGTGATAACCACTACACTACGGAAACTCGATGTACAGGACTGCAGTTGAAAACCACTTGGGGGAAAAAGTGATCGACAGATATTAACAGTTTACTGTGCTACATTAATGACGGTTATTATTCCTGGATTTCTATACGAACCCACAAAATAGACTTTATGCCTGACACGGTCAGTTTCACAAAGTCTACAGCGTGGTAAGATTTCTGGTGTGTATTAAAATTGTTAATTTACAGCTCTGCTTGTAACAATATATAGAATATATATATTGAATTGAATATGTATAGAATCCAGGATGGATTCTATGAGTGGCAGCCTGTTGCAGCAAGACTAATAAAGGATTATCTTATCTTAACAAATGCAACAGTGTTAAACAAGTTTCTCTAAATCAGTCTGAGGTAGAAAAGGCTGAACTTTTGCAATATTTCTTAAATGATAAAAAGCTACTTTAGTGACTGTGTTCCACAAAAAAAAAAAACTGTTGATAAATGATTTCCCAGTGAAACTGTGAATGATGCAGTACACCTGTCTAGAAGT